ACTCCTTGGAGAGAACAATCATGGGAGAAAGAAGGGCTGTTTATGCACAGGGAGACAGCTCAGGGGCAGGAGTGCATGGAGGGATGGACAGAGGGAAGAGGTTAACTATCGGGAGGAAGTGGGAGGGGAGCTGTTGCATTGGGGTAAATTGTAGTCAATGTCATGAGACAACGTGTGTATGGACTGCTGTAATGGAAAGTGAATTTGCTCTGTAAACTTTCACCCAAATCACAATTTAAAAAAAAAAACTGACATTGTGTTGAAGAAAAAAAAAATTACAAATAGCTATCTACCTTCCCTGACATAGGAACAAAAAGTGTGGGGAAAAAAACTTTAACTCAATGGTGACAGCAAAAGAAACATGTTACTTTAAATTATGTTATTATTGCATGCCATCGAGTCATCTCCGACTCACAGTGACCCATCCTTGGGTTTCTGAGGTGGTATCTCTACGGAAGCAGATCGCCCAATCTTCCTTCTGAGGAGTGGCTGGTGGGTTTGAATCACCAACCATCTGGTAAGCAGTCAAGTGCCTTAGGCACAACGCCACCAGAGTTGCATAGAAATGTGAAAGTTTTAGAAACTAGTTTAAATATTTATATTATGTTTCTAAATGGAGGTAGAAAATGAGAAGGATAATTAGAAAAAGAAAACTTACCAAATATGTTAGTGGAGTGTCCTTTCTTTGCAATAGGCCTGAGTTCATTATGTCCCCATCCATACATCCTGTAGTTATCCCAGGCATGTTTCATCATCTGAGGAAAGAAAAATCATAGTTCATCAATTTAGATTATTAAACAACTGATATTTTTAAATTCAGATGACTTAGGATTCTATAACTATACATCCCTATCACTTCTCCTATATCCATATGTTGTTGTTGTTGTTGTTGTTGTTGTTGTTATGTGCTGTCGAGTGGAACCTTACTCGTAGCAACCCCTCCTTGGGTTTCCGAGGCAGTATCACTACGGAAACAGATTGCCCAACCTTCCTTCCAAGAAGTGGCTGGTGGGTTTGAACCACCAGCCTCCTAGTTAGTAGGCACCTGACTCAAGCCATGGCATTTTCAATAGCTTCATACACATGTGAGAGCTGGACAATGATAAAGAAGATGGCAGAAGAATCAATGCATTTGAAGTGTGGTGTTGGCAAAGAATACTGAATGTACCACGGACTACTGGAAGAACAATTAAGTCTGTTGTGGAGGAAGTACTGCCAGAATGCTCCTTAGAAGCAAGAATGACCAGACTTCATCTCTTATACTTTGATCACACTGTCAGAAGAGACCAGTGCCTGGAGATGGATATCATGCTTGGTAAAGTAGGTCAGTAAAAAAAGAGAAAACTCTCAACAAGATGGACTGACACAGTGGCTGCAATGATGGGCTCATGCAAGGCAAAAATTGTGAGGATGGTGCAGGACCAGAGAGTATTTTGTTCTGTTGTACAGAGTCACTGTATATCGGAACAGACTCAAAAGCACCTAACAGCAACAACAACCTGAAGTATAAACATCATCCTTCTGCCTTCATTACAATCCTGAGAATTTCCGTGTTCTCTCATTCTCTCTGGTGAAAGATCCCCTGTTCTCAAAATCCCGTCTTATTTTTGGTATACTCCTTTATTATGCTGAAACACATTTTCTAGTAGCAATCTGAGAAAACTCAATACTAAGACGCTAAATGATTTGATTCATAATTTGGTTTAAAGTATAATTCTAAGGCTTTACTCTACTGTCTTTCAGTTTCCAACATTATTGTTGAAAAATCTGATCTGCCATTGTATTATTCCCAATACCAATCTTTTGGATGGAACCATTTATTTTCTCCGTAAACTTTTAAGATCTATTCTTTATGCCTTTCTGCTTTTCTATTTTTTATTCACTGTGTTGAAGAACTGGCAGGTAATTTCAATCTGAAAGTTCATGTCCTTTAGTTCTAGTCAATTTTCTTTACTTCTTTGACTTTTTTCTATTTTCATTGTTCTCTTTCTAGAACACCTAAGTATTTGTCATTTGTTAAGATGATCTGGCTTGATCTTATTTCTCCTGTTTCTTCAGTCTTTTTGTTCTACTGAGAAATATGCTAAATTTTATATTCCAACTTTTCTATTAAATTTTAATTTTGTATTTTTAATTTCTAAGATACTGCCTCGGAAACCCAAGGAGGGGTCGCTATGAGTCGGGGCCGACTCGAAGGCACATAACAACAACAACAACAACAAGAGCTCTTTATGATTGTCCATATTTCCTTTTAAAGGAACATTTCTAATGTCCTCGTTTCATAAATTTAATATATTTTTTGTCACTCCAAGAAGGTTATTACTTATTTGATATTTCTTTCTCTTTCTTGTATTTTTTTCTGCATCCTCTGAATTCCTTTCTTCCATCTATTTCGTCCTCATGTGAGAAACCTCCTTAAATGTCTGGTGATTTTTGGCTTGTTCATCAAATTTAAGAGTGAAACCACCCAAATACACTGCCACAGAGTTCATTCCAAATATTGTGACCCCAAAGGACAGAGTAGAAATGCTCCATAGGGTTTCTAAGGCTGTATATCTTTATGGAAGCAGACTGCTACATCCTTCTCCCATGAAGTGCCTAGTGGGTTTACACTGTCAACCTTTTGGTTAGCAGGCAAATACATTAACCACTGCACAACCACAGCTCCTTATTTAAGACTGAAGCACTTAATAAAGATAATCAAAGGCTGTCAGTGAATGGGGAAGACTTACTGACTGGGTCTCATCTAAAGGTGATCAGGTGAAACCCAAGTGCCTTACTTAGTGCCAATGTAATAGAAAAATACTACAAGTGGGTAAAAATAAAAATTTATTTTAGATTCTGTTTCTAAATGGAGAAGAAAATAAGAAGAATAATATTTTTTTAAATAGAAATTTATTTTCTCTTTGTTCAGGAGGCTGAAAGTCTGAATTCAGGGTGCTTGTTTTAGGGGAAGGCTCTCTCTCCCCATTCTGGGAGAAAATTCTGGTCTCATCTTCTCCAGTGCTCTTCTCAGCATTCCTTGGAGAACTCCACATGGCATTCATCTATTACTTCTCTGTCTAATCTGCTCTTTTTATATCTCAAAAGTCTTTAAACTTAAGACACATCCTATGAATGGACTCATTAACAGAACAAAGAAAACTACTCCCAAATGAAATCACATCCACAGGGTATAGGAGTTGGAATTCCAACACACATTTTTGGAGGACACAATTCAATCCACAATACCCAGGGTATTTCTTTGTGAACAGTGCAGGTCTTCCTTCCTCTTGGGTCAGTCTCCCCAGAAATATGTGCTCCATTCTCCTACCTACTGAATATACACCTGGCTAACAGAACTCTGAAGAACTGAACAGGAGGAAGTGGCCTCACTATTCAAAAAAACAAGAGTTCATTTAATTTCCTCCATACTGACCACTCTCTTCATTTTTTTTAGAATGACCTCTGCCATTCCTGGTGTTCCCAAAATCCGTATCTTCTCTGATTCATCTTCTCTAGAAGGTAAACCTTTAGCCTTCTGTTGAGGCAGGGAGAACAGTCACTACAATGCTTGTGCTAGGATTGAGGTTCAGAGCTCCTTATACAAACTTTCCATCTCAATCATACACTGTTGCCTTCAGATGTAAATGGTGTCTCCAATTCTTGAAACTTCTTGGTATTTTGCAATTCAAATCAGCTTGCTTCTACTTAGCTTCTCTAACTTCTTCTGCAGGTTTAGGTTTCAACTTTTGTTCTGCTTGCTAAATCGTAAGCATATTTTAACAGTCTTTACAGAGGTTCTTAATACTTTTTATGCTGATATACAAAACAGTGATAACATGGTACACAGTTAAGGATTAATTCAGCAGATCTGGATTGCCCAAACCCCAAACTCTGCACATTTCAAAGAAAAGTTTGGTCCTTGCCAAATTTTGGGGAGATAACTTCTAAGTGCTAGAATATCTTGCCTGTTAAGAGTGTCTTGGTTAACCTGCAGCTTTGGTCCGCACCAGATAGTTCATACTATCAATGTGATTTATAGTGGGAGTCTTGGGTCATGCAGTATCAGCTTAACCTTTTAAGGGCTGGACAAATAAGGCTGGTCATGTGGATAGTCAGCTATACATATGTGACCAACCCCTCCCCTTCCTCACAAAAAACATCCTGGACATCAAGGCTTAGGTGAACCTGGTTAACAATACATTGTGCAAGTTATACATTATTGCTGAGAGAATTAAGCACTGTCTTTACGATTCCACTAGAAAAGGACAACTGACAACTAGCACCTGGTCTCTCATGTGCCTTAGCCAACCTGTATAGAAAACAAAGAATCCAGAGGTAAGATAAAATCATAGTATAGCTGTGCTTTGACTCCATCAAGGTCAAGGCCTTAGAGTAATTCATAAAGCCAGGGTTAAATTATCTGTTAACCTTCCATATCCATTACTAGAATATATCCAAATAGCTGTTTGACTGTTTGAACTAAATTTATTTTCCTACTCTATAAGAAGGAGCTCTGGTGGCGTAGTGCCTACACATTTGACTGCTAACCAGAAGGCTGGCGGTTCAAACACACCAGCCACTCCTCGGAAGGAAGGTTGGACAATCTACTTCCGTAGTGATACTGCCTCAGAAACCCAAGGGGGGGAGTCGCTATAAGTAGGGTCCAACTCAATGGCACGTAACAATAACAACAGCAACTCTATAAGAATTCTTTTGAAATTCTGTTGATGCTATTACACTCTGACCAAATCTTTACTTTATAGATAGTACAATTGCAAACTCCAGCCAGCTCTTACCGAAATACTTAAAAATTCTGAATTAGCATGATTTCCAATTAGTAAAGTGTAACTGATATATTTACATAAGATTTCCCCCTCTGGTATTCTCTTTACTTCTAAGCAATTCCTAGAATAACAAATTGAATGACTTCTGAAGCTAAATCATTTTAAAGAATTTTCAGATCAAATCTTCCCCATTGTTCAATCCACTGAGGCTCACTGTAAAGAATATGATCTGAATCTGCATTATGGTTGAGGGTTTATCATAACATGTTCATTAAAAGATGGCAGATATAATGCTAGCTCTTCAGAAATACGTTTATGTGAATATTTGCAAAACATCTAGCAGTTTCTGTAACTGAACTCTTAAGAAATTTCTTATTCTATAATAAATTACATAGAGATCTCTCTTCTACTACTGATAAAATGCTGACTGTCAAGATTTCTGAACACAGGATGAGTATACTAACAATTTTATATCAATTTTTTTAGTGTACAATTATGTTATAGTCAGCAATAAGAAAAACACAGCGTTCTAGTACTACCACCAACATGAAAATGAACTACAACTATGAGCCAGGAGTAAGATCCAAGTAGTATAAAGCCAAAAATGGGGTGTGTGTATGTGTTAAATATAAATTCATACCCATTCCATATCACAAAGTTTAGCCTATTACCTCTTTAATTTTTTCCCTTTTCTTTCTTACGTCATTATCTTCTGGGTCTCCACCATTTATTCCTACAAGGTTGGGTATAGGGACAGGTGGTAGTGGCTTGTTCTCTTTTGTCTTCATTTCCTGGACTACCTTATTTTTCTCTGTCTGAATTTCTGCTCGGATTTCTTCTCTTGATTTCTTTAATTTTTCTTTTGCTTCCTCCAGGGCTTTCTCATGATCAGCTCGTATTTTATTTCTCAGGCGTTCTTCTTCTTCCCTGGGCAAGAGGAGATAAAATGACTGGTAAGAGTGAACATTCTTAAGAACATCAACCTTTAAGCATAATACTTAAGAGTTCTCCACCAAACCACAATGGTTATTTTCAGTGATATCACTAGGGTTGGCGTCATTTAGTAATGTATATTATCATTTTTAATCATAGGATAATGTGATACAGTTGTAAACTGCTTAAATGTAGTATTTCTTAGATTATATGAATACTAACAACAAAACTGTTTTGTAAAATCTTTCTATGAAATTGCTACATTATTAGTAACTGAGCAGAAGCTTTTTTAAAAAAACTTTTCTCCTTCTTCTTTTCATTTAATTACTACTTCATTCCCCAAAAAATTATTTATATAGATTCACAAATACTAATTACCACAATACTATAGTCAAACACCAGAAAATCTGACAAAATCAGCAACTATAAAAACAATGGCACCAACACACACACAGCAGTGCATGCTTGTAATACATGTAGATAAAACCATGTGATTCCAAACATCATTGTAACTGAGTAATAAATGACAGCTCTGATTAGAGCACATTAAAAAATTTTAAAAATTAAAAAAAGCTCACTGCCATTGAGTTGATTCCAACTCGCAGCAATCCCTACTGGCTTTCCGAGGCTATAAATCTTTACAGAAGTATATCACTGCATCTTACTTCCAGGGAGCAGCTGACTTTCTAGTTAGTAGCTAAATGCTTTATCCATTATATCACCAGAGCTCCTTTAGAACATTAGAAACACAATGGAAGTTTCAAAAAGTAAATTAGCATACAGTTCTAGCCTTGTAATAGACTGATACAAGTAAGCTGGGCTTAGGGGAAAAAAATGTTGTTTACATAACTAACTACAGCGATATTTTTATAAAAATAAATTTCTGCTGAGAACACTGCTCAAAAATTTTATAAACAGTCGTTCTGGTGTGACCCCCTCTGACAGTGTCATCAGATGTGGTAGTATACCCCATACCCTCTTAGTGACCATATTGGTTAGTTTCTACTCCTGGCAGTAAAAGGTAACAATGATCAATGACAGAGACTCAAATATGCCCAAAAAACAGATAAATATATCTTGTTAAAAGATAGAAAATGAAACACAGATGCTAAAGAACATACACAATGGGAGGAATAGAAACTAGCAATAAAGTTACAATTTCAGGGCTGATTAAAGAGAGAGAACACAAGTAATTTATCAGTGAGAACATAAAAAAAGAGACCAATGAAAATCTAGATGGAGCAGTGAAAAAATAAAATACATAAGTATAGTTGTTATTGTTATGTGCCATCGAGTAGAACCGGACTCATCGCGACCCCTCCTCCTTGGGTTTCCGAGGCAGTGTCACTACAGAAGTAGATTGCCTTCCAAGGAGTAGCTGGTGGATTTGAACCGCCAGCCTTCTGGTTAGCAGTCAAGTGTTAAAAGAAACCAAAAACCCAAACCCTTGCCCCCAATTTTCACTCATAACTACTGTGATAGTTATGATTATGTGTCAACTTGGCTGGGCCTGGGTTTGAGCGGCTGGACAGCTGACTGAAGTTCTTCCCCATGTTGTTGTTGTTGTTGTTGTTGTTGTTATGTGCCATCAAGTCGGACCTGACTCATAGCAACCCCTCCTTGGGTTTCCAAGGTGGTATTACTAAGGAAGTAGATTGCCCAACGATGAGAATGGTAATCAACTCCATAGTGGAATCTGCTGTGAGGAGTTGAGTCACTGCCTTAGGGATGCAGTTTGCTTCCAGTATATAAGGAGAAGTTTTGAGAAAGGTCTTTTGAGTGTTTTGGCATGCTTGGACCCTGCAATGTAGCCAAGTCTTCATTCAGCAGCCTGCCATGTTGCCTGCCAATCTTGGGACTGTTTCTGGACTTGAACAAGTGGCCTGCCATGTTGCTAATAATCTTGGGACTGTACCATTTTACTTGTTGAAGCTGGGTTTGTCAGCCTCAGTAGCCAGTAGTAGCTGCCTGAGTTAAGAGAAGCCTCCACCAGCTTTACCGGGCTGGGAGCAAGAGGCAAAGCTGAAGCCCAAGGTCAAGGGGCCTTCTTCACCCATTGCCTGGAGTGGCATTCTGAACTTGGACCTCTAGCCTCCTAAACTGTAAGAGAATAAATCCCTGTTTGTTGAAACTATCCACTTGTGGTATGACTATTAGAGAGGCACTAGAAAACCAGAATATGGACCTTATGGGACAGAGTACAACTGCCACATAGAGTTTCCAAGGTTATGGTGGTAGTATCTATTTTACAGCATATTATTAAAAATAAATAATTTTGGTTAATCTTTGTGGAAACAGATTGCCACATCCTTCTCACAAGGAGTGGCTGGTAGTTCTGAACTGCCAAAGGTTAAGCTAAACACTTAACCACTGTGCCACCAGGGCTCCTGAAGTATCAGAGAGGGGACAAAAATATTAACATAGGGCCAAGAAAAGAGATAAAGGTAAAAAGATAAGAGGATGGAAAGTGTTTCATTTGTTAAATAGTACATCACATGCTTCTAAAACTTGTTCCAATTTAGCAGGTCTGTACATGACCCACAACTCTGTATTTTTAAGAACTCCCCACAGGATTCTAGCATATATAACAGATTTGGAAAGTACTGCTGTTGTAGGCACCTATGGGGTTTCTGCTCAGCCCTACTTTTCTGAGAGCTCATCTTCTCCCCACCTGTATGCCAGACCATAGGAGTAAATAATATAGGCGTGGTAGTTACTGTCAGCCATTATTTCCCAAATCTGGTCAATAAGGACTACTTTAAAGGTAAGCACCTAACTAAAGAGTGACCCGAAAGAACTCTCCAAAAATTTATTTCAATTGTCCAAATGGGTGGATTTACCACATTGCTGGTGTGAATGTGAAATGGTACAGCCACTCTAGAAAACTGTTTGACAGTTCACTTTAAAAAAAAAAAAAAACTAAACACGCATCTGTCATAGAATCCAATGATCACACTCCTGAGCATTTATCCCAGAGAAATGATGACTTATGTTCACACAAAAACCTGTACACTAATGTTTACAGCAGCTTTATTCATGTTGTCGTTGTTGTTGTTACTTGCCGTCGAGTCGGCCCCGACTCATAGCGACCCCTCCTTGGGTTTCCGAGGCAGTACCACTACGGAAGTAGGATTGCCCAACCTTCCTTCCAAGGAGTGGCTGGTGTGTTTGAACCGCCAGCCTTCTGGTTAGCAGTCAAGTGCCTTAGGCACTATGCTACCAGAGCTCCTGCTTTATTCATAATACCCCAAAACTTGAAACAACCCAGATGTCCTTCAACAAGTAAATGATTAAATAAACTGTGGTATGTTCACACTGTGGAGTACTTGTTGCTGTTAGCTGCCATGGACTCTGACTCATGACGACCTTATATACAACAGAATAAAATGCTACCCAGTCCTGCATCATCCTCACAATTACCAGTATGTGTTAATCAATCATTACAGCTATTGTGCCAATCCATCTCAACATACTTTTAAAAAACCTGTTGCCATAAAGTTGATTCTGACTCAGAGACCCCATGAATTTTCAGAGTAGAGGTGAAAACATAAGGATTTCAGTGGTTTTGACCTTTCAGAAAGGAGCTACGGTGGTAGTGTCTAAATTTGACTGCTAACCAGAAGGTTGTTGGTTCAAATCCACCAGCCGCTCTGCAGAAAGAATATAGGGCAATCTACTTAAAAAGATTTATCACCTCAGAAACCCAATGGGGGTCACTATGAATCAGAATCGACTCAAAAGCAGTGAGCTTGATTTTTGTTTTTTGAGCTCTCAGGAGAAGATCATCAGGTTTTTCTTCTAAGATGCTTCTAAAATAAATGAACTATTTCTGCACACAAGTTAAATGAATCTCAGAGGTATTATTATGCTGAAAGAAACAGTCTCAAAAAGTTACATACTAAATGATTCCATTCATATGACATTCTCAAAAGGACAAAAATGTAATGATGATGAATACAGATCAGTGGTGGCCAGGGGTTGGTTGGGGTAGTGGGGAGCTAATGATAAGGGAACAGCACAAAGGAGTTTTTTGGATTGATGGAATTTTAATGTATCCCGATTATGGTGGTAGTATCTATTTTACAGCATATTATTAAAAATAAATAATTTTGGGAGAAAAAGAAAATTGGCCTGCTGGCAGTGAGAAGCCACTGATGAGCTAAACAGAAGAAAAAGGTTGATGGGTGCAGTGGGGCTACCACGTCATTCAGAAAAGTAGGAAGAATCCATGGAACCTACTGATGGGCTGAATGGGACAAGGAGCCGCCAAGATTGGCCCCTGGTTGCATCCAAGAAAAATTCCACAGCTAATCTGTGCAAGAAACTCGGGTAGATGGAGGCATCATCAGCACACAGCTGTAAACACAGTATCAGACAAATAAGGTAACCAAGGCAGACAGAGGCGAGTATCACCCAACAGCTTTTCACATCCTCCTTACCAAGAGAAAACACTTGTGCCTACACCTCCAGACAAAAGATCATACTCATTCAGTGTTCTATACTAATCAAGTATTTTTCAGCTGCCCCTGCAACTAGGGGTGGCCACAGAGCCACATTCTAACTAGAGACAAAAGGAAACTACTGGGAAATATTTTCCTTTAGAGTTTAGTAACTGGACAGTTCTATTTGAGAGCAGGGCCTTCTAGACCTCACTTATCAAGTACCTAAGAAGCTGGTTGCATAGTGGTTAAGTCATTAGGCTGCTAACCAAAGGTCAGTGGTTCTAGCCCAGTAGCCCACTCCATGGAAGAAAGATGAGGCAGTCACCTTCCATAAAGACTGACAGCCTTGGAAACCCAATGGGGGTCACTAAGAGGCAGAATCAACTCAATGGCAGTGCGTTTGGTTACTCAACCACCTATTTTGTCTTCAGATGTGCCTGTGATGCCTGAAGCTGTGGCAGCCATTTTGCAGCCAAGAGGCAACAGGCTTGGGATCAAATAGCCAACATGACTCAGGAAATTACAAGAGAAAGAGGGAAAGTGCCTGCTGAT